ATATGTGTGTGTTTTGTAAGCAGTTCACTGACTAAGAAAGCCAGTTCTTAAAAACAGGATGCCACTTCACAATAAACTGTCCTTATAAAGAACTTATAATGACTTACAATTAGGTTATTATCTAGAATGCAAACACTTTATTATTTATAAATATTCAGTTGTGAAAAAGTTCATAATTCTCTTTTAATGAAGCATGTTCAAAAGAGCAGAACCACTTTATAATAGGGGTATCTTTACAATTAAATTATTACCAGTTTAAAAACAGGATATTTAAAATTGTTCATACACAGAAGTAGGGATTCAGCAAAATCAAGTGCTGAACTTTAATTCATTCAGAAAAATGAGTAGTCGTTCAGCTTACGTTTTTTATTAAACAACTTCATATTCCAAAACAAACCTTTTATCAACATATGATCAAATTGCTTACACGTGACAAATGTTAGATACGTAAACTCTAAATTATAAAATACACAGGAAGAAAGAGATTACAGGGAGAATGGAGATTTCAGAGAAATGGTGGCTCACTATTTGGCAAAACGTGAGTCAGTAATGCACTATATTTAATTAATAGAGCTTTTTAAGTGTTTACAGCTTAATTAATAACGGCATTATTAACTAATAAGTCATTTACAAGGGTGCCCTTATTGTTAAGTGGTACCAAAGGATCTAACAAATCACTTTATTACAGGTTCAGTATTTGACCAAAATGAGCAATATATTTTATTACTGCTAGTAAATGTTATTATTTGCTAATCTCTGGGGGTTTTTTTTTTTTTTTTTTTTGAATACCATGGACAAATGTTGGCTCACTATTTGCACAGATATGTAATAAATAATAATTTTTAAATAATGTAGGAATCTTTTAATGCATTCTATTGGAAAGTGGTAACAAATATAGTGTGTTTACCAATTACGTGTTGGTTTGTTCTTCCTGAAGTGATGCCAGACTTTTCCACTGAACATCATAACAAGTTAACGTGCTGGCTGCAGTCCACCCCGCCTGGAAAAGTTATGGCTGACAATATCAAGACCACTTGTTAAAGTCTGTTGGATTTCAGTATGTTGTCAGGTTGCTTTTAATTTGGTTCAGGGAAAAAAAAGGTTTTCTATTAAAGGGGTTACATTCAAAGGTAATAATCAGTAGTATCTCATTATATTTTACCTATACTGTGTCTCTCCACATCTCATCACATCACATTGCAATGGTTTGTTATCTGGGTGTCCAAATACTTCTTTAAAAAGTCTGTTAATCCAAAATGCTGCTGCCAGAGTCTTAACTGGAGTTAGTAGGAGAGATCACATCTCTCCAGTTTTAGCTTCTCTCCATTGGCTCCCTGTCAAGTTCAGAATTGAATTCAAAATCTTACTTCTAACCTACAAAGCCCTCAACAACCTAGCTCCATCTTATATTCAAGATCCTATTGTTCCATATTTTCTTAACAGAGCACTTCACTCTCAGACTGCAGGTTTGCTTGTGGTTCCTAGAGTTTCCAAAAGCAGAATGGGAGGAAGATCTTTCCGTTATCAGGCTCCTCTCTTGTGGAACCAACTTCCAGTTTCTGTCTGTAAGACTGACACATTGTCCAGTTTTAAGACTGGGCTCAAGACTTTCCTTTTGACAAATCCTCTAGTTAGGGTTGGCTTGTTATGCTGCTGTAGGCTTAGATTACTGGAGGACAAACTGACCTCATTTCCTGAAATTAATTGTTAAAATTGAACAGTTTTCATTTGATATTATTTCTATCTTAACATGTGATTCTTGACCTGCCATTGTGTCTCTGTTCCTCTCAAACCCAGCCGGTCGAAGCATATGACCGCTTGTCCTGAGCTGGTTCTGCTAAAAGTTTCTACCTCGTGAGGGAGTTTTTCCTTTCCACAGTCGCCTTCATGCTTGCTGAAGATGAGAGTCTGCGATGGAGTTAAATTCAAAGCAGTCTGCTCCTCACATAAATAATGTGAAATTGTTATTTTTATATATGAATGTTTCGGTTTGGTGCCATGAGACGACTTCTGTTGTGACTTGGTGCTGTATAAATAAACTGAATCGAATTGAATCTCCTCACCTTGACTTCCTCGTAGGCTTTTTCCACCAACTTCATGTCATGGCTTTGGTGCTCCCCTGACATGGACTCATCCTCTGACAGCAGACGTTCACAGGTGGAACAGAACCAGTCCAAACCCTGCAGCTCAGCAGCCAGTCGGGCCTGACTCTCCTCCTCTTCATCAATGATCTCATAATCTGCCTCAATTACGTCTTCACCAAACTCTTCTTCCCTCTGCTCCTTCTCTGTCTCTGTCTCCATCCTCTCCTCTGGCTGCAGCCCAAACTCCTCTGTGTCTCTCCGTGTCTTCGATTCGGGCATATCCTGTGCTTCCTTCTCAGATATCATTTCATATCCGAGTTGATCAACAAGTTCATCTGGAGCATCTAAAACAGCCTCCGCTTGCTCTGTACTTTGTGCTACACCTTCACTGCGCTCATCAATACACATTCCTGAGTCCTCTTTAGGGACATTTGTCTCTGGTACGTTCTCTTTCTCATAGATCGCTGCCTTTTGTTCATCTACTTGTTCTGACTTTATATCACAAAACCCAGATAAATCATCTTGGGGAGTAAAACTCCTAAGTGGAGAAAAGACCATGTTGTCCTCTTCTAAATCTCTCTCATTCTGCTCCTCTGTGTTGTCCTCTTCTACAGGTGCCAGTGAATCTTCTTTGTCTGTATCATTGGTGGGAAGTTTTTCATCCAAACCTTTTGGTTCTTCTTCAGTTTCAGGCTCAGGTGCTTGAACTTCCCCAGTGTGGTCGGGTTCAGGAGGAGTGCTTGTGTCTTTTCTAATCCTCTCTGTCCACTGACCAATCTCTATGTCCATCTCTACAGCTTGACCTTTTGGAACAAGAAGGACAAACTCGTCTCCGACAGTCACAACTTCCTGAACACAGGTCCCAGTGTCCCCTGTGGGCATCTTAGAGCTGGTGACTGGTGTTGGCTTTGCCGTATTCGATTCATTTTCTACCACTTTTTGCCACTGTTCACTTTCAGTTAGTTGCTGATGTTTCTCGTCTGGTTTTGTTTCAACTTCCTCAGACATCGCAGGTTGGTTGACGTCACTTGAGATTTCAGTTTTAACCTCTGACTCCTGATCAGCTGCTGCAGCTTTGGCTGCACATTCACTCTGAATATCAGCGACACCCTCCTCTGTCCAAGACTCCTGCTGTTTGTCTCCTTCGGGAACTGAAGTTTTGGCATCCGTTATATCCTGAAGATCGATTTGAACTTGAGTGTGCAGCTCTTCTTTGTTCACTGTCGTTACCTCCACCACTGTTTGTACCTCACAGTCAGTGACGACCTCCAAAAGGTCTTCAGGAGCTGCTTCTTTGTTCTCGCTCAGGGATAATTCAGTAGGCGACTTCGTTTCTGCGAGGAGTTCAGGTGAGCTGAAGGTTTCATTTCCATGTGTTGTCACTGGAGCTGAGGCCTCTGTTTCTGCCCGTTTCTGATCAGTCGACTCTCTCTTTGAGTCAGCAGATGGCTCTTTAGACCAACTTTTTTCAGTGTTTTCCGTTGTTTCGGATTCACTTCCTGTTGGAGGCTCCTCCTCTCTGCTCACAGGTACTGTCATCTCTGTGGACACCAGAAGCTCTTCGGACATTTTGAGTGTCTGACTTGGATGCTCCGTGTCAGCGCAGCTTTGCTTGTTTTCATCTTCTCTCTGAAGTCCCTCACTCTCCTCCACTTCAGTTTCCATCTGGTGAAGTTTCAGTAGCTTTTCTGTTTTTGGCTCGAGCAGCTCAGTTTGATCCGTTTTCACCTCATGTTGCGCTTGTCGTGTCTCCATCTGTTCCACTGTTGATTTAAGCTGCTGGTTTGAATCTCCTGAGGTTTGTCGCACAGCTGGCGCCTGAGCCAAAATGGTTGTTTGTAATTTTTCCTTCACTTCCTCTGTGTTTGACACAAGTCCCTTTTTCTCAACACTCATTCCAGAACTGGCCTCCTGCACCTTCCTGTCCTCTGTCTTTGTCTTTTCCTTCTCTTCTTCCTCTTGTGCCGCTCTTATTAAGGAGCCGGTCATTTCAAACTTACCCTGTTGCCAAATCATCCTCCCTTCACTCATGTCATCCACTGGCTCTGGCTGAACACTCACTGCTGGTGTTTCATCTTTTAAAGTAAATTTCTCCAGATACCCGTCTGCCTCCTCCGAGTCGGAGAACCTCCTCTTGCAGGACTTCTCCAATGCGACGCTTTCTGCCTCCGAGTATTCCTCATCACTCCTCCTCCTCTCACCTACAGCATCCTCATAAAGGTCTGAGTACATGAAGGACATGGCTGTGGGCTCCTCCAGGAGTATGGGGTCAATGATCTTAGGAGGTCCCGGTGAGATAAAGATAGGAGTAAGAGTGGTCTCTTCGCAAGAGAACAACACTGAGCCGCTCTCCTTTGCTGATCTCTGGCTCTCTCGTCTTGTTCTCATCCGAGCTTTGCCTTCCTCCTCTCCCCTCTGCCTCAGCATATCAGTGGTGGGTCCTTCTCCGTAGAAGACCTCATCTAGGTGTTCCCCAACGATCTCTACATCTGTAACCATCACAAAAGAGTTCTCGGACACAGCGGGGCTGTCTGTGGTCGCCTCTTTCACAGGCACAGGTTGTTGCTCTGTTTGAGTTTTGGTTGGTGGCTGCTTTCCTTCCTCTTCCTGCAGCTCGGATGCCTGATCTCCAGGAGCCACATTATCCAAAAGGGTGAAATTTTCAAAGTAGTCAATGTCACTGGTGTTGTCTTTCTGAGTGAGCCAGTTTCCAGGCTCTTTGTCTGCTGAGAGCTGTGACGTACTTTGTTTTGAGGGCTGTGGAGAGATCAAAATCAACAACTCAGACCAAGAAATACTTTGTAACACTCAAACCTGTAACACGAATCAAAACAGATTTAAAAGATCATACCTCAGTGTGTATTTCTTCCCCTTCTGGCTGATCATGATCCTTGTATTCGGCCCAGTCACGGTGGTTTCGGGACCTGATCTTAGGCGTCTGGTCCAGGTAAGACAAATTGTCCTGCAGCTCTGTAGCTTCCTCCTCGTCCACGGTGGGAAGTTTGGAGGGGACTCTTATGTTAAGGATTTCATAACCCTCAGAAATTAAACTGAACAACTGCTGATCCTTGGTTTTTATTTCCTCCCAGTCTGTGTCTGTTTTCGTTTTGTCCTGTTGGACATTGGGAAGAGAAACCTCTGCCATCTCCGGCCTCTCCGCTCCCAAAGCTGAAGATGATCTTGAACTGCTAGGTCGTCTCAGCCGGTCCCCCAACCTGCTGCTGCTTCTGCTTCCAGATCTCGTCCTCCTGCGGACCACCTTCTCTTCATCAAAGACGATGGTAATCTTTCCTGCACCCCCAGATCCCTCCATGCTGTAAGCTTCTGAAGTGGAGCTTGTCTCAGAGGCCCATGGAGTGGAACAACGGCTGGAAGCAGTCTCCCAAACAATACCACTGTCCTCACTTTGAACCGTAACCATCGAGAACGACGGGTCAACCATGAGGCACTGGAGCTTGGGCTTCACCGCCTGGTCCTGGACAACTTCTCGCAAACTGAAAGAAGGATCAACAAGATTAGGGGTAGGACAGCAGGCAGGTTGTGTCACTTTGAAAGGCATTACTGCAAGAGGAGATCTTTTTGGCACAACTTATTGAAATGCCAGCAGAGAACAAACCAATGAATCAAATCAAAACATCTTTGAACACCAACCCTCATTCATGCGTTACAAATGAAACAAATATGAGCTGAAAACAAGGTAACACATAACTCAGTTTCTCAAGAGGATTACTTGAGCTGTGAAGATCACCGATATTAGACCAGGTGACAACTGCCAGGCTGCCAGTCTGAGGCAGGATCTAAAAAAACGAATGATTAAATGTTCCCTGAGCTGTTCTGCAGGCTATGAATACATCTCAACCCTTGCTGGGTTAAGGCAAAGTGACGTCCCAAAGTGTCATTCCTGTAATATTAGAGAGGAGATACCTAGCTTTCTCTGATACAGCCAACGTATCGATGTCTTCTACTATTTATGACATGGCAAGAATGGCACTCAAGTCAAAGCATAATTGAACATATGGGACAGTGTATTATATCAAATAGTAATATGCAAGTTTCTGCTGTTTGTTAGTGTGTTAAACGCTTAATTCATCCTGTTTTCTATCTTTAAAATTCCATTAATGGAATCAAATCCCAAACACAAGAGGTTTCCTTCAATCACTAACATTCAAGGTTGGGTTTTTTTCTCAGAATAAAAAACTCTCCCTAAACAAAGACAAGCCGGTCCATTGTTAAGGTGTAATCCAGATTAAAAAAAGTACCTGTTATGTAGCTCTTCCACTTCATCTTCGTCATCCTGGCTGTTGACATCTGAGGCCAACTCCTGCAGCTCAGTCATCTCAGAGTCCAGATTTTCACATTCTTCCATCTTTGTAATTTCCTCCTGATTTTCTGTTTTTAGTCTCCAGAAGTGTTATTTTTTGTGTGTTTTAGCATACGGTCACTCGGAATCAGGGGGTGGTCTGCCTGTTTGTGTCATTCTAAAGTGGGTGCTGTGCATCTGACTCAGCGAGGGACAGAAATAGACTGAGAGGGGGATGAATACAAGGGGAGCATAGATGATAAGAGGTGAAGAGGAGAAAAAGAAAAAAGGGTTATTAGCTGGTGAGACGATCACCAGTTAACCAGAGAAAGAAACAGATTTGTTGGAATTAGGAGACTTTTATCACGGTGCGTTCTTGTGTGAGTCGATGGTTACCGGATGCCTGAGGTGATGTGGCTTTAAATTCAAAATCCCCTTTGCCAAGTTAAAAATAGGGCTTGTGCTGAAACAGTAACCCCCCTGGTTCCCCTGCAGCTGGGGGGCAACACCAATCAAAACCAGACATGTCTTGTAAGGTATCCAGCCCCCTCCCTGCAGCAGGGCTGGCACAGAACAGAAGTCATAAAACTAGGGGTAATAAGCTGTCAAACCACCAAACAAAAACCAGTAAATGACTGAACATTCAGGGCAGACTGTGTAGAACAAGATCCGGTTTTCAACAAGTCAAAGTTTAATCTGATTGTTTGAACTTTGAACTTCATGATAAAATGTTTCCTGATGGCAGAAGACAAACAGGAAACATAAAACTCAGGTTTCAAACTGGAAAGCTTTAAAATGTGTTGCAGTCCAAAGCCCTGATGGCCGTGCTCGATAACGAAAACTTCTACTTTTTGAACAACAAAAAATTCTATATTTAAATCAACATTTTGAGTGTGGGCTTATAATGTGAATATTATAAATGTAAAGTACATATAAACATCTCATAACTCTTCTTTCAGCTTTCCCCTCTTCAGGGGTCACACAGCAAATCATCCTCCTCCATCTCACCTTGTCCTCTGCATCCTCTGTCCTCACTCCAACTACCTCCATGTTCTTTCTAACTGCATCCTCTTTGTATTTTTCCAGGCAGCTGCATTTCTAACTGTCCCTCCTCTGGACATGTTCAAACCACCTGTTCTCACAATGTCATCTGCAAACATCATAGTCCACAGGGATTCCTGCCCAACCTCAGTTGGTCCATCATCAGAGCAAACAAGAAGGGGCTCAGAGCCGATCCTTGATGCACTCCCACCTCCACCTTGAAGATATCTGTCACTACACAGCCCATCTCCCCACTGTCCTCATACATACATACTTATCTGTCACTCCAGATTTCCTCATGCAATACCGCACCTCCTCCCTCGACACTCTCTCATGTGATTTTTCTAAATCCACAAAAGAGTTCTTTCTGATCCTCTCTGTACTTCTCCATCAGCATCCTTAAAGCAAACATCACAGCATCTGGTGCTTTTTCTCAGCATGAAACCATACTGCTGCTCACAGAGTCAACTCTCTCTAAGTCTAGCTTCCACTCTCTCACAGATCTTCATCGTGTGACTCATTAACTTAAATCCCTTGTAATTACAACTCTGTACATCATTCTTGTTCTTAAAAATGGACACCAGACACTTCTTCTCCACTCCTCAGATATTTTCTCACCCTCAAATATGCCATTTAATATTCAAGTAAAAAAAAAAACCTCACTGCCATCTCTCCAAGACATTTCCAAACCTCCACTGTTGTCATCAGGTCCTACTGCCTTCCTCTTCTTCTTTTCAGAACTTTCTGGACTTCACTCTCATTAATTTTTCCCACTTCCTGGTCCAGTTTCTATGACCTCTACTCTTCTTTCTCTTTCATTCTCTTCATTAGCCCCTCTAAGTACTCCTTCCATCTTCCTGTCACACTCTCCTCACTTGTTAGAACATTACCTTTTACTTTTTACTTTGCTGCTCTGTCTGTCTGTGAAATTGCTGTGAGACTCTCTTGCATTTCTTCCGAACCATAATTATGGACTTGTATTGATCAGTTGGTCCCTCAACTCAATTTACAACATTTCTTTGAAGAGAAGACGGGCTTTAGGCGAGCCGATTTACCCTGTTGGCACGCACGCAGCTGGATATCTCATCGACTTGAAGACTTGATGATGTGTCTATCTCTGCTGCCATCTGTGGATTTTAAGGATGCATATTTAATTGGATTTTCAATAACTGGTTCCTGCTATTTTGGATTCGGCTGGCTGGTTTTATCTACAATCAAGGAAGTCATCGGCAGCAAATTTGGACCCGATCATGCTGCTTGCCTTTATGATGGCTTGGTTCGTGTCTCGTGTACCTGGACTCAAATGCTTTGGGCTGAATGGATCAGATCTTGGGGATTTTACTGTCACGTTCCATCGGTGTGGCCATGTTATTTGGACATTTGGGAACCGAGTGGACCAACACAGACTCAAGGTAGATGTCATTAAGTCCTGCCTGTACCCAAAACAACTGTGTGTTTATCTAAATTTTGGTTCCCTTGGCTGGTCTTGAAGTCAGAGTTTCTTTATTGTCATTCGCACCTCATGTGGTACATGTGGTGGAGCGAAATTATGTACACGGGGTCCCAGTTACATCCAACAATAAAATGTCTAAGAAAAACAGCAATAATATCTAAGATATGAACTATATTGAAGGCCATCTTATCTGAATTCACCTGGAGAAAATGTGATCTGACGCTCACCACCCACTCCCTGAAGGATTTCCAACTGATAACCAGTTGAAACCAGCTGAATAAACTTGTGTCATCATTTCAGGACTCTTGGATTCTCATAATGTTATCCTTGGCCATTCCTCGACATCCCACGAGAATGTTTATGGATCTCACCAGAGGACATTGACTGATTACAGTGACCTCAAGAGCATCCATAAGCGTTGTTGACCGCTCTCGTCTCCGACTGCAGAATGTCTACGTAAATATGTGCTTGTTTGTGCGAGGTTTTTTTTTTATATTAGAGGTTTTCTCAGGCAAGAAAAAAAAAAAGTCTGATAGGAATTTTTTTTCGCCTCCAACTCCAACATGTGTCCAGTTAACCGCTGTTTTTGTCTGTCCAAACAGGTCTCACTTGTAAATGAGTCTTCGAGGCTCAATGTGATTCATCTGTTTCAAAAAAGGTTGAATGAATGATCATTCCCATATTTAATAAGTTTAACCTGGTGCACGTCCTTCCCAGCTTGATCCCTGTCTCGCCAATTGGTACAAGACAAACATCTCGTAACTCTTCAAGTTAAATTTAACAACTACAACATCCACAAAAATGCAATAAAAAAGCACAAAAATGTTAAATCTTGCCAAACATTTTGGAGATTTTATTGTCTACAGCGTACAATATTACAAAATAATATTTAGATAAGTTGTCCTCTAACAAAAACACTTTCCCGTCATGAAAAGTAACACATAAATTGAGCAATGTTAAAAAAAAATTAAAAAAAGTTTGTGGAAACAAAAACAAAGCAAATGCAAAGTAAAACTACCACAAAGAAATAAGCTGAAAAGTAGCTGCAACTTTTTTAGGGGACAGAGCTCATTAAATACAAACTGAAGCAGAGCGGTCACACAAAACCAAAGTTTTAGAAGTCCTAAAAAGACCTCAACACCTGTGCAGGTAAATTACAAGCTAATGTTGGTTATAAAATATCAGCTATTTAGCAAGGGATGGAAAAGTGACTATGGAGTTGTCCAGAGACAAATGAAAGTGTTTTGACATAGAAAACCAAAAAAATCTAAAAACTGTTGAGAAACAGATCAAGATGTTCTTGCTGATAGCAAAGAGGAAAAAATATTTCAACTCTTTTTTTTAATACAGATGTTCATATTGTTTGTCTAAGAGTTAGATTTTTTTTTAAATTATTATTATTATAAAATGTAACAACTGCGTGTCGGCAAATGTTAATACACCCAGGTGAGTCAGACGAAGATGTTAAGATGTTTTCAGTTTATTCAGATTTTGCCACTTCCTTTAGCAAGACCAAAATTTTAGTTCAATTTAGAAAGCAAAGCAAAAAAAATATAAAATGCTCATGCAATTTTTGAGCTTGATCAAAAATGATTGCTAAAACTCTCCAAAGAACAAAATGTACAAAGGGAGTGAAAAAAACAAGAAAGATGAAAATAAAACTACTCAACAGCTGCGTTGGTAATAATTTACATCAACAAGAGACGAAACACGAACGTTGTCTCAGAGTTAGTTCAATGATCAACCTGAACATAATACGCTCATGCTTCATAGTAACAGACAATCAAATACAGTGAAAAAGCCGAGAAGCTTTTATTTAATGCAGCCGTAGGAAGAAAAAAAAAAAATTGCAGTTCTTTTAAACCACTTTTTTTTGTGGGTATTGACTTACAACAGAAAAAAGGCATTGGTCTTGCAAATAAGTAAACTCTACAGAAATAGTTCAGAACAGCTGCAACATGTGGGTCTAACTATGTGGGTCTAACTAAGATCAAAGAAACATAACTCTGAGATTACACAATTAAACCTAAATGTCATCAGTTCCATTTAACTTGAGGATATTTTCAATAAGTTTAAAAATGCCATGTAGTAGCAAAAAAAAAACCGAAAAAAAAAACATCCTGCTTCAGAGCAGCATCTCTCCATCACCATCTATTGCTTTCAAGACTATCTCTGGTTTCACGTCTCAGCCTGATCAGATGAGAGGACTCTCAGCACAACCCAAAATCTTTGCACCGTTCCTGGAGTCGGGCCCATCTCGAGGCACAGGACTCCAGTCAGACCATCTCAACCTCTTATCTCCTGGATAACTCCTTATTTATGATGGTTCTGACTGGGACGATTGAATTCAGGTCCTTCGTTGTTTGCAGTAATCGGCATGACTGCACAAACAGATGGGATTATGAGCATCGTCAGGTCTGAGTAGTTTGAGGAAGGAGAATAATGACTGGAACATACCTCTGCAAACTGCGCTTTAATGGCATCAAATTTGTGCTTCTCGCGAACGGCCCTGGCAACGTTTTTTCTCTCAAACGGCTCTGAAACAAAGATTTACTGCGTCACCGTGTGGGACATATTTCAGACCAAATGCTCCACTTGCTACATGCTGGAAGTTTGTGTGATGGGTTCTGTTCAGAAACCCCAAAAATACTTTGCAGTGTTAAGTATCAAATTTTCCAACACAAACAGATACAAGATGACATCAAACCTGGGAAAAATCATGACTCAGACCACACAATCCAGATTTAGGTTCACCAGAGAGCCTGAAAGTGTTTTTGTCTGTACACGGACACCTGTAATGTTTGTTCTTGTGGTCCAGCTGACTCAAATGAAGGGAATGAACTGAATCTCTCGTACATTACACATTCAGAGAAACAATGCATAAACTTCAGGACTTTTTATTTTACCTTACATATTTAATGTTGCAAAAGCACCAAGAACAAAAAATGAAAAACTGAATGTGTATGTTATTTTTTCAAATGTTCCCTTTTGTGCATTTTGTTTTGGGAATGAAATATTTACCTTCCACACAAATTAATTTGTTTTTCCACTCTCCAGACTTGGTCCGAGGAAAAGTCGCGGCTTCTCGCACAGAGATCACATGTTTATCCCAACTTTAAAGCAAAAATACAACAATAATAATAGTTAGCGGCTGTTTTGTCTAAAAGCAAGCACAATGGCCAACTTCCTTAAAGACCATTACACTTCTCAGTAACTTCCCTCCACACAGTAAATAGGAAGAGCTGCAGATAGTCTTCACCCTCCGGGATCACTTCAGTTTAATACAATTTATTCAAAGCAGACTCCTTTAATGCACCAACTGTCCAACTCATGTGATAATGATGCAAGCAGCAACAGCTGCGTAAACTGATTATTAAGAAACTAAACATTTAAATAATAAATGTATAAAATGTAGGCGTGTATGATGAGGATGAAAAATGTCTAATCTTTATTTTGCACCATTTTGACTCTACATCAAACATTATATAATGCTTGGCCGTGTAGCCAGTACAGATTTTCAAAAGTGGCTCTGCTCATTTCAGTATCACACATTCTGCAAACACAGGGATCACGGTACGTCATGTTGGTGCTGTGCAAGGCCAAAGGTCCCACCTGCTGCTGCTCCTCAGCCAGAAACATAAACCCAGAGAGGATGCAGCACAGAGGAAGGAGGACAGAAGGAAAACTTGAGGTAGAAGTAAAAGTTTGGAGGAAGAGATGAGGAAATGAGTGTGATGGGAAAAAACAAAAAGCAACTTTAACCTATTCTAAACACTGGAAACGATGGAGAGATGTTTTTTGGGAGGTACCTGAACTGTGTGGTGTAGTATTTGAGGAAACCCAACAGCAGCTGTCCCAGAGAGGACTGGTTTTTTGACGTGTAGGGAGGACTGTTTTTGCATCCCTCTGGAACCATGTCTATGTCCATGAGGGGATCAAAACAATCCTATAAAAAAATTAAAAGAAAATACGTTGAACTAAGTGACACTGTCATACATTTAAAACAGAGCGTGCATCAGGATACATATTTAAAACAGTTTAAAGACAATGTTTAAATAAGAAACTACCCATTTATTTTTTAATATATTACACAAAAACTGACAATAGGGTTAAAAAAAATTAATAAATTAAAAAAAAACTTCTGGAACTAAATATCAAAACTAAACCAAGACACTTACTGGGAACGCTCTTTGTAGAGATGGGAGGACTGGTTCTTGAAGAACTGATGAGAAAACAACAGATACAAGTTGAGACAGATCAAGACTCGGGACAGAATGAAAATAAATTCTCCTGGATGTTTTAACTGCACTGACTCTGGAGATAGTGAAGGATCATCAGCACCAGCGTGTAGCTGCTCAGCGTTCCTTTGCTGGCGTCGTTGATTTGATGGTGTCGAGCCCATTTCTTTATGACGAGGATCAGGGGTCTTATCCTGGGATCAGCTGAGAGTGAGGCAACACGAACAGCAGCTTTACAACCAGTAACACCTAGCAGGTGCACTTTTCATTCACAGAACAATCAAAACTTAACAAAGGAAATGAAACTGATCGTGTCACTCACCATAAGCATAACCTTTCAGGAGGAACGTGTTTCTGATGCCCACTGTGTTGTTGATATTCAGATCAAACTCCAGATCACTGATGAGATCAGCAGTGACTCGTTAATATAACATTCTTTTAAAATGTAATAGTGTTTTTAAAAAAAGCAGCTTAATGAACCGTTTGTCTCCTACCTGCCTTTCTGCTTGAACCTGAGAATTGGGACTTTTGCTCTTATCAGCTGAATCCTCTCAACGCAAGCTAAAACAAACATATTCATTATACTGAGTAAACAGCTCCACCTAGTGGAGGCAGAGAAAAACTAAAAGTGAAAAACAAAAATCACCCAAGAGCTCAAAAACAAGTTGATATAATTTTCCATTTAACAATCAGCCACAAAGATTTAATCTTATTGTATGGCTTGTGAACATGATAAACCTATTTTCCAAATCTAATGTAATGCTGTGCAGGTAATGCAATGAAGAGATAATTGTGATGTGGTAAAAGAGCAGACGCAATTATCAAAGCTCACCCTCTACTACGACACAAACAATGTTCAAATAACTTGAGACACAGTATCATCAGCCATAGTACAAGGTTTTTTAATAGTTTCTCCCCTGCCACACAGTCAGACTGACGGCAAAACAAAACTACCGAACAGGTTAATAACCCGACACCTCCCAACTTCACTTGTCATCAGGCCTGTCACGATAACTAATTTTGCCGAGTGATTAATTGTCTCAGAAATTATTGCGATAAACAATAATATTGTCTGAAATTTGACAATTAGTACTTATTGTCAAATTTAAGAAGCAATGTTTAATTTGTTTTGCATGTAGTACCATTTTTTGACCACCGGATGGCAGTATAAGACTGTTTGAACTGAAGAATGGATAGTGAGGGAGCGAGCAGCGTGTCTCTTTAAGAAAAATGGGAGGGAGGCCCTTTGACGTGACATGGGCTGTCTCTCCTTCCTTTATTCTGTTCTCAAAATGGTGGACGCTCAGTGTGGTTTGAGCTCTTTAGCATAGCATTTTTCACACAAAGCTTTTAATTAAAAATCAGTAAACAAGTTCTCAGCTTCTTTTTGCAGAGAAAAACAACTTTTAGATAAAGGCACAGGTTTCAACCCTGAATTCTGGAGATTTGACAAGACGGAGATTTCCAATGTGCCTGGATTGTTGGTCTTATGCACAAATGGCAAATAAAGTACTTTTTACCTTTTGTACCAAAAATAAATGGAAAAATAGTAAAATAGTGTTTTGACAGTGTAAAAAAAATGATTGCATGTTTAAAAACAAATTTAGTTTTGCCAAAAGTTTTTTTAACACTTACAGAGGTATCGAAATGCCCTTGTGAGATTTTTAAGGACTGAAATAGGACGATGGTTTTTCTGAAATAAAAAAAGAGAGCAGAAATTCAGAAAGACGTGAGCGTCTACAGTTTTACACTTGGTAGATACAAACGGAACAGAGCGGTATAAACTTACATGTCCCATTATGACAAGACACAGATCAGCATCACTGCTCCGGCAGCCCAGTCCATTCATGGAAGATCCGGTCAAGTAAAGCCGCCCCACTGTGGAAAACATGACTTGTTTGAATGAAAGAGGAGTAAATGAAACCAAGAACAAGTGCTGCCTGTTTACTACACACCTCTATAAAACTTCTGTATCTCTTGCTGCAGATAGCTTCTGAGCAACTCCTTCCGTTCCAAATCTGAAAACTGCTGCTGGCACGCCTCAAACAGCTCCACCATCTGACCGCTCAGCTGAGCACACACACACACACACACATACACACATATATATATATTCAACACTGACTAAACCAAATGTTACAGCATACAGGTCAGATGCAGGTAAACACAGTGAGGATGTACCTTGTCTTTTGCATAGAGCTGTAGACTTTTGGAGCTTTCTGGGACAGAAAGCACTTGTGTTTGGGGGTAGGCGAGTGGACTGGATAACATGTGATTGGGACCATTGACAGAAGCTCTGGAGGATTCCACTGGCTCAGGATAACAACGGGGATGAGCAATCCTAATAGAGGAATCTAATGATGGGTGGGGAGAGGAGTCAAGACGTTGGCGTTTCACAGCACTAGAGTTGTAATCGCTACTTTGTCTCCTGAGAGAAACATAATAAAGAGACATATGAACATGTTACAGGAATGCTCATAAAACTGAACATAATATTGAAAAAAAACATGAGACAAAGACGATTCAGTCACTAAAGAAGGGTAAAATGTCTTACTTGTGCCCACTGGTGATAGCTGGCATTTGTAGAGGGACGACTGTCGAGGTGAGTGGAGGAGGCTTCCATTCATAAGGAGGCAATCTCTCATTGTCAAGAGCATGGTAGCTAACAAAAATACAAATATTCAGAAGACACACAAAAAATTCTAACAGTGTTTGTGATGCATCTTTGTAGCTTTTGGAGCCACAAAACACATCTGCTTATAAAAACTTTTAAAATCTGTTGTTAGATTTATACAAAAACAGATCTAATCTCCTTATATGCAGTCTTACCTTCGCTTTCTTCCCAAGCTCTCTATCCAGGTTTGATTGTGTTTCTGTGCTCTATGAAAAGAAACATTTAAACTTGGTCTTAGAGTTCTCATCAGGGGCAAACATCTTGGGAATTAGACAGATGTGGAGCATAAAGTCCTTAAAAAACACCAACAGTAATCCAAGAGGGCAAACATTGCATCAGTGTAAAACAAATGTGTTTGTCTTTGCAGGACTGCCAACAGTTTCCCAAAGAAGATGGTGTTTTGACGCATTGGATATTGCTACTAACCTATCCAAAATACATTGCACAGGTTTATAATAATTGTACCAAGTAAAATTATATTAATCATGTTCTGTGCTTTTGTTTGAAAGTAAAGGTTAGTTGTTGGCATATTGGTTAAGAAACACATTTTAATATTTAATTTTAACAGTATTTGCACAACGCAGAATGGCGGAACACAACAAAAATGCCTAAAGTTGTCAATAAATTGGGAATTATTACCAAACCTTTTAAACAAATCCCTACCATGCCCACTGTGGGGACCAAACTTTTCCTTTGTGGCTCAATCACCACAGGTGATGAGTTGACAGCTGTTTTGACACGTGCCCAATAAGTGGTCTTTAATCAGTTCCTTTTGTAAAACGAAGTGTCATTTATTTTCTGTATTCTAACAAAGACCATACATTACTTGCATCTATTTCAAGTTTCCATATTTCAAAAGATGATATGCTGGTGAAGATTCTCAGTCATCCAGGACATGATGAATTCAAAAAGCGTTCAATACAAAAACAACTGGACTTTATTTAAAGTCCAGTTGTTTTTGTATTGAACGCTTTTTGAATTCAAAAGATGATGCAAAAAGGTTCCAGTCACACTTCTTGCACTTCCATTAACTTTCTAACACAGCTCTCATGTTACATGGTCAAAAAACTGTTTGCCTCTGTCCTGTCTCATCCGCCGTGTGCACCTTTGCACCTGGCTTTTATGGGTGTGGAGACAATGACAGGTAGCATATTACTCCCTCTAGTGTTTAACAAATGAAATAACACCAATAACATAAAATGGCTCTAACACCCACTATCTCGCACAGTCATTTTATTTATAAATCACTTTAAATGTTCACCATTATATTGTGAAGTGTTGCTGTTTGTCTTTTTTGACTACAGCATTTTAATGGCATCAAAAATGTGTTTCTTTCAAGTGGCAAAAAGAAAAATAAATGATTTAACATAATCTTCAACAAAAACAAGAATTCAGCAAATTTATTTGAGAAATTTAGAATGTTTAAATTTTGTTATTTTTACAGTTTTACACTGCACACCTCATGACAGGGAGTTTCCATAAACCCGCAATCATTGTTGCCATCTATCTCTTGTTCAGTGTGTTTTGTAGTCATCTTCACCTGTTAGCACCTTCCAGGCCTGGATGACTCTGGTTATAAGGGTGTACTTGTGGTGGCGGGTTCAGGTTGTCATAAGCTGGCCGTCGCCACGGAGTCCAGTTGCGTTGAAACATGCTGCGCTACTTCCAGAAGCTCAGTATAAACTTTGTTGATGTTCGAAAGAAAGAAAACAAAACAACAGCATGAATGAAATACGGAGGAGGAACAGTCTGAAAGTTGCTACCGAAATGACATCCTATCATTCAAGTGAAAAAGAGTAACCAAGGAAATCGAAACTTAGCGTTCTTTAGCAAAACTAGCCAGTTAGCTAGCAGCGCGAATACGCATAATTTTACTTATAACAACAGCTTATGGGTCAATAAATACAAAACAGTTATATATGATAACATGTCACTAAATGTTAAAAAAATTTTATATATATAAAAAAAAACATAACGACGTCCCCTTGGCGCTTACCTATTTAGCTTTCAACCTCTTCAAATAGTTCTCATTCTTTACGTTCAAACTTCCGCGTTGACGTGATGACGTAAAGAACTCGATTTAAAGGGGACGTGTCTGCATCTTAAAGGAAAAAAATTCACCCACATTTGAATTAAGGAGAATATGTAAGTGCTGTTGCTTAAAGAAAGTTTATGTTATATAAAAAAACATGACATCTGTAAGCCGTTAAAACATATTTAATACTTGTGTAGATTTAAGTAAAAAAAATGTATTTTATTTCATCTCAATGAGGCAAAAATGTGATTTGTTACTTTAATATCATAGATATAAACACTAAATCCCTCATTGGCTGCTGCGGCGCAGGAATTTCGGCCGCCATCTTGGAACGGTCGTCCTTATTAGTTAAAGCAGAAGATGTTTCAGCACTTCGCAGCTTATTTCTGTTCTAATCGACGGACTGTTTACGTCTGGACTCGGGGGATAACTTTTCACAAGTAAGATGAACATATTATTGTTAGTATTTTGTGAATAGAATATTACTGTACTGTATTTATGTCCACCAGCTGATGTGATGTTCAGTGTAACACGGTGTTCAGCTGCAATGAAGCTGACTGAGATCTGATGACAGGAATATTTTTCTAACAAGCATACTCACAATTTTAGTAGCTTTGGTTCATTATCAACAGATATGCATCAAAACTGGAGTTTTGTTAAAGTTCTAGGATATAAAAAAAAATAAAACTAGGGAGAATATAGGAAATAGAAAATAAGATTGACCTCCTTTGTACAATGTTTTTGTGTTGACACAAATCTCCTGTTTTCATTTTGAAGGTTTCCCAAAGAAAAAGATGTGAGGAAGAGGTGGAAGTATCTGAGGAGGATTCGTCTGAGCAGTGAGGATTTTAAACTGGAGGATTTAGATCAAACTGATCAGACTGTCCGACTGAGAGATGGTGTGGTACCATCGGTTTACCTTCAAATAGTAGGAGCATCATTATAAGTTCATTAGAGTTCATAAATGTACATATTTTATTGTCAGTCACAAGGTGAGACACCTCCATGTGTTTATATGAACAGGTAACTATAGACTGTAAAGTTCATATTCATGATGCTTTTTCATTTCAGCTTGAAAACTGCAGGACTACAGGAACTCAACAAAAGCTGGAGCTGCTCTGTCTGTGGCCTCTCAGGAATGTGCACGTCACACACACAACCTCAGGAACGTGCACGTCTCACACACAACCTTGGCCTAATGATGTAAGTATTTCTATTTTAAACTTTTATTTTTTCATTTACCCTTTATTTATCCAGGTAGTCTCACTGAGTCACGACCACTCATCTTCAAGAGAGACCTGTTTAGGAGCAGATGGTGGGGGTTAAGTGCCTTGCTCAAGGGCCCAGAGTGGGGCCAATGAGGGTGGAGGCAGGTGTGGGTGTTTCACCTTTTCCACCCACATTTTGATGTTGACGGTACCGGGAGTTGAACCTGCGACTTTCCCATCACAGGCCCATCTTCTAACCTCTGCGCCACCACTCCCCCACATAACATCATATCATAATGGTCATGGTCATATTAAAATCTCACTGGTTTCCTTCCAGATGTGTTAAACAGCTACTGGTCCCCCTGATGTTTCCAGGTGGCTGTGGTCAGTGGATGAAAAGCCTGGCATGAACAAGATGATGCTGGAGATCATCATTTGACGAGAGCTCCCACCTTCTAACTGTGAAGAACAAGAGCAGCTCAGTGATTCCCTCAAGGCTCAGTGAAGGTGCTGAGAGCTGCAGAGAGGCTGATCCATGGAGCTTCAACACAGCAACCTCCAAACATGTCCACCCTCACACACATCGTCC